AAAGCAGTCACCTGACCTCCTGCTGTATGCCTTTTCTGGAAAACTCAGCCCTGTCCCTACCAAAGAGCCACACTGGGAAAGTAGATGGGATAAAGCACAATCCAATGCCATCAATGTACCAAAATATTATTCTGTGAAAAAGCAGGCAGAAGGGACTCATTACCACATGTCAATGATTACATTTGCTAAGGAATTCCTTGTCGTTCACTCAAACTAAAAATGGATGCATCAGGTGAAAGCCTGTAAATAAAGGTAAATTACACAAGAGATACTTTGCTGTGAAAAGTATTTTTACAAATGGGTGCTAACAGTTGGTCCAGAGAACAGGGAAGGTACAATGATCTTGATTCATGACTTCAGCTACAATTGGACCAATCAATAAGGCATCTGTAATTCCTCCCATCCTGTTTCCCAAAATGCACCCTCTCCTGTTCTACTGCTTTGTAAAAATGAATGTTATCAAGCAGCCATTTAAGGCAAGCAAAAATTACAAGCATTCAAATAATTCCAAAATAGTGTCCCTTTATGAAGAAAAAACAATCCAATTAAGTATGAAAAGTTACAACATACTAACAAGGGGCCTGAAATATTCCTAAACCCAGCCATCTGACCTTTATTCTGATTTAAGCATGAACTTCACATAAACTGGATTAAGTTTCAAGAAACACTGAATTACTAAACAGCCCATCATCCTTAAACTAGTTAATTATTTGCAAGACAAAGCACTCAATATCAATCAATAAAGATCAACTAGAGAATTCCATTTCCAGTATCTGGATTTAGTATAAACCATCAGTTCCCATTCCAAGAGCATTACAATTACTTCTCCTGGAATGAGAGTCCTCTGCAATCCAGGTTTGCTCAGAACTGTTATGTCAGTTAACATTCAGTGCAACCAGAACACACACACACACACTGTTTAGCCACTGTCTTCCCCCATTTAACCTCACTGGCAATGGAAGGGCCTGGCTTTTGTGAACCTAACAGCTGCTGAGTACAGCTGAACAGTGACAGGAAGGCAGCACAACTGGATTTAAAATAAATGATTTTATATGAAATTATTATACAATATATTTGATTTTAAAAACCTTGCTCTCCTCTTCCTCTACCACTAAATCCCACAGATTCTGGGTAGACTTTGTACCAAGATGAAATATTCACTACATGACACTGAACTGCAGACTAGGTAAGTAACAGAGCCTATTGTGCTTTTTCAAATCTTGAAAACAATGCATATCAGAAGTTTATGCAAACTCATTACATGCTCTTTCTTGACGGTAAACTGTGATTTGAGCATCAAATTACATGCCATAGGATCACTGCACTACAGAGGTGCACAGTATTTGCATCTGGTCTCACATGGCCATTTCACATCCTTGCTATCCAAGAGCTTTTCTACAATTCTGTGAACAATGTGGGCTACTATCACTGCTTGCACAAAAGGTTCTTATTAATTGACCTAAGGGACACAATCTATACAGGCTTTAATGCTTATGTAAGCTGTCTGGGTTTTTTGGGATTTTTTTTTTTTTTGATTAGGCATAAAAAGAATACTTTTTCATGATACTATAAACTTAGGAAATCCTTTAACTCATTCTGACAGTATCTTTATATTTATCAGCCAGAATGACCAACAACCACAATTTCCACAGGTAACTTAAGCTCTTTATGCAGTACCAATATGAAATTTACATCTACATTGGTAAAACTGCAGCAAGGAAAAACGTTAATTAACAAAAATCAGATTATAGATTTGGCTTATAGGCAGAGTGCTCAAGAAGACAAACAAATACATTTTCAGAGAAGACAAACTGGTTTTGATTCATTTCACCAGGAATTCCTTTACACTCTGAAGCAGGGTGGACATTATTTTTATCTGAACAAATCTGGTTTTGGAGGTTATGCCAAGTTTACTCAGTCTCAAAATCGATTTAAATGAGTGCAACATTGTTTAATTTTATTCACATTTTCCCAATCTCTGAATACATAATACAAAATGCTCTGCAATCCAGAGCACAAAGGAAACTAATTGAATGTGTCTTGTAGTAACTAACACTGGAGCAATGCATTTGGTACGAAAAGAATAAGGGTATAAAGCAAGTATCTTAAGGCAGCCCCCTGACAGCCACATCACTTGGACTTTGCTAAAGATAAAAAGTTGCTTGAAAATGTAAAAAATATGAGGACAGTGAATCAGCAGCTGTTCAAAAACCTTTAATTCAAACCAACTTCAAGTGAAGCTGCTGAGCAAGTGACATTACCATTCTGTACTTTCTCCAGTTATAAGTTCTCAGAGCTTTTAAAAACCTGAAGGGGTTTGAAACTAATAACTGTGTGTAAACTTGTGTGTGCTTTATTACTATTGAGAATTTTATTCATTTTTTAGTTCCATTTACTCCATAAATGACTTGAAAAGGCATGAATTTAAAAAGTATACACACAGGTAGGCTGTGCTAATACTTGCAAGCTTAAGCACAAACTACTGCTCAAAAAACTCCACTAATAACCCTTGACTTCAGTGTCCATATGAAACTCAGTTAAAGTCAAAGGCAATGCCATTCTTGTTTAATATAATGTTTATTCAGCTGCCGATGCTCCTTTTCTGCATTAAATAACCTCACAAAGATGCCCCAAGTGGTCAGTGCCTTTTTCTCCTACTAGCCAGGTCACCTGTTGAGAGTTCAACTACCTTTTTGCATTAAGAACTTTCACACTTTCCTAGGCATACTCCTCCTAACATAAATGAGACACTGGACTCAAAAAAAAAAAAAAAAGTCAGAGTAGTACACCTCAGTTGTTTGGTAAGTTTTGGGGTTTTCTTTTTACAGTGATATTTGCCCAGAGCCTTTTTTTAAATTAAAAAGAAATCATGCAGACCGAACAAAAGAAAAAAAATGTATAAAAAGACAAGTGTCTTCAGTGACATGGGTGTTTTCCTGTACAAAATTTCTCTTCCTTGGACAGGTCTTTTTATTAATAATTAAATCTGTAGGAATGAATATTAGACATCAGAAGAAACTATTCCAACAAGATATTATGAAGATTATTAATTTCAATTCTCACTGTATTTCTTGTATAACTCTGCACCATATTCCTCTGCAGTTACATTAAGCAGGTTTGCAACATCAGCTCTGACTCCAAGTCAGTGTAACAGGATTGTCACACTGCACTGCTCTTTGATACACCCTGCTTAAACTCCTCTCCAATAAGAAAACTGCTGCATTTTCTCTGCACCTAAGTGACCCACTAAAAGCTTCCCCAGATTTATCCTGCATTGTCTAATCAGTCAATTTATTCTGTCCTCAAATCACCAACCTTGCACAAGTCAGGTAGTAAAGAATTCTACACAGAAGAATCACATGAAGTTACCAAAACTCTGAAGCACTTCGCTGTCCACTATGAAGAATCTTCTCTTTAAAATTTGTTTGTTGTTTTGAATCAAAAATTATGTTGCAACTTGTATTAAAAACCCTGTCAAGTAATTAATATGTTAATTCATTACTCTATACAAGATGAAATGACTTCTCGCTCTAAAATCTGGTGCACATTCATTCTTCATATGCGTTTGAAAGTAAAGTTCCATGACACAATCTTCATAATTAAATTATGCGCTGGAAAGGGCGGCAGGAATCAGAATACCACTGCAAATGAGGTTTTGCTAAAAGGGCTAGAGCTGTACAGCACTGATGGAAGCCTATTTTGATGTATCATACCTGTTTCCCATGACCACTTGACTTGTCAGTTTACAGATCACACTACCACGACAGAGGTACTGCCAACAGGCTGAAGGTTACACATAAGCCATAAGAAGAAATAAAACTTCCTACATTTCACACCCGTTTCATTTTTCACGATGATGCTCATCACTACAAACTGGTAACACAAACTTTGTCAGAGAAACCACCAACTCCTGAAGCTGTTGGGAGCCCGAACACACGGCTTTGGTACCTGCACTGGTAACTTTTCCCTCGCTGTTGTAAACCATCTCAGCGCCGGGAGCTCTATGCCCGCTCCCGGAGGGCACACGGCGGCGGGCCGGGGACTCGCCAGCCCTCTGTACCGACACCGGGCGTTTCAGAGCCTGCCCGCTCCACGCCAAGAAGGGAAGGGAGCGAAGGGGAGGGTGAGGAGCGCACGCTCCCCCCGTCCCAGGACGGCAGCGCAACCTTTCCCGGGCGAGCCGCCAGCAGAGGGGGGCAGCGCGGGCGGGACCCGCACCGGGAGACGCGCGGCGGAGCACAAGCGGCCCTGCGGGACCCGCCGGGGCGGGCGGCGGCAGGGCACGGACGCCTGCGGGCCCCCAGAGTGACCCCGGCCACCCTCGAGCGACGGCGCTGTCCCGGCCGGCCTCCCCCGCCCGCGGGGCATTACCTGGCTCCCGCTGCCGCCGGCCCGGCCCCAGGCCCCGAGCGGCAGCCCCGGGCTGCCCAGCTCCTCCGCGCCTGGCAATGGCGGCGGCCCCGCTCCCCCTCCCCGCTCCGCGCTCACTGGCTGCGCCGCTTCATGTGACCGAACAAAACCCTCCTCGACACAGCCCTTTGTGTCCCGCCCGGCCGGGGCACCGGGAACGCCGCTCGTCGGCTCGGGGAGGTGGCGAGGGGCGCTTGTCGGGACGGAGAGAGGCCACAAGGCGGGCCGGAGAAGGAAGGGCCGGGGAGGGCAGCGCCTGCCGCAGCCGCTCGGCCTCCGCCACGCCACCGCCGCCCCGGCCCGGCCACTTACCGCGGCGCGGGCGGCTGCAGCCGAGCCGCGGTGCCGCACCAGGTCGGAGGCGGCCGCCATGTTCCCGATGCGGCAGGATGGGGCAGAGCCGCCCGCTCCGCCACCCGCCGCTAGGGCGGGCGCCCGGCCCGGCCCGGATCGGGTGGGCTCCGCTGGGCCCCGGCCCGCGTCCCCCAGCCCGCGGGGCCCTGCGCCTCCCGCTCTCCCCCTTCACTCCGCGGCCGGGCGGGGGCGGCGGGGGCGCGATACAAAAAACTAAATCGTAACGGGAAACTCACGGGCTCGCCGGGCTGTGCGTCACGCCGGGGTTACGTCCTGCGCGCGCCGTCGTGACGTCATCGCGCAAGCGTCCCGACCGCCCCGCGGGCGGCTGCACGCACACGCACACACGCGCGCACGCGCCCCGCCGTAGGCGAAGGGCGCACGCGCACGGCATCCCCCGCCTGCCCCCGCCGTACCCGTTGCCGGGAGCGGCCCTGCCAGCTCGGAGAGAATGCCCGTCCCCCCTAAGGCTCGGAGGGAATGTCCCCCCAGGGCTGCTCCCCAAACGGGACGGGCGCACAGCGCCGGCTGCCAGCGCGGCCGCCGTCCGCCCTGCGGGCTACCCTTCGCACAGGCCTGGGAAAGCGGGTCAGGTGCGGCAGGATGTGCGCGGGGCGCTCCCGAGGCAGCGGGGAGGCAGAGCCCGGCTCGGGCTCGGGCTGCTGCGGCCGGTGCCAGGGGCGCGGGGATCCTGAGCGCAGCGGGCACTGCCTGGGGTGCGAGAGGCCATGAGGTGACAAAAAGACTCCCTCGGTGCCATTCTCTCCTCAGACTAAGGCTGCTGAAGCGAGCCCCAGCTCAGAGGGAATTCTCCCGGAGTCAGGGGAGAATGTTAAGTGCATAGAGACTGCTTAGATGACTTAATTTTTTCCCTTCAGACTTGCCGGGCCCGGGGGATTTCACACTCGAGTGAGAAGCTGATAAAGGCAACGTTAGAGGTGTGAGCGGTGGTCAGCGTGCTCAGGGACACGACAGATGTCGAGAGAGAGGAAGAGGAAAAACACGGCGCATATAATTCAAAAGGGGGGAATAGGTAGAGCCAAGCACTGTCAATCATTCCCGCCTCTATTTCCAGAAAAGTACTGAAGCAAATAATCACACATCTTTAGGTACATGATATCTAATGAAGTGGTAAGCTACAGCCAACATAGATTCGTCAAAAAAATCACATCGAGCCAAACTCGTCCCAAGCTGTGACAGAATAACAGGCTTTGGATGTGAGTAGTGCCCGATCGGTTATGGCTTAAGTCAAGTTTTTGACACCATCTCAGAGAAGTCTTCATTGAGCAAGCAAAAGACATAACATAATGAACTGACTGCGGTGGTGCAAAATTACATCAGCGATGTTTCACTGTGACAAATAGCAGGACAGCAAATGTGGTTCCCTGGAGGTGGGTATGTCATGCCTGTGGTCCCAAGTCTAATTATGCATGTGACAGAATACAGTTTACATGGATTGGATTTGCCAACAATGCCAAACTGGCAGAGCTGGAAGCATGTTACAGCACAAGAAAAGAATTCAAAACTTTCCTGAAAAAAGAGTTGCAGAAATATGATGCAATTGAATAAATACAAGTGCCAACTTCAACATTTAAGCAGCAAAATAACAATTGCACAATTGCAAGACTGGGAACAGATGAATAAACACCAGGTTTACAGAAAAGGGGCTGGGGATCAGAGTAAATCACAAACTGAACATGCATCAACAATGTCACACCGTTGTGAAAAAAGCTGCAGAACAGAGAGATGCGTAAACAGAACTGTCATATCTAGGACATAGGAAGAATTCCTCATCTTTAGTACTGGTGAAGCCTCATCTGTGTGTTCAGATTTGGCCTCTGCATTTCAAGAAAAATTTCTTTCAAAAACTCCTAGTAGAAGACAGTACAAGGAAGGAAGGGTGAAAAAAGTCACTATTTTAAAAGATGTGACCCTAATTGAAACTAGGAATGTGTGGGATTTTTTAGTCTAGAGAATAAAAGACCATGGGGAGAAAAATCCATTGTTGCACAAGGCTAAACGTAACAGCTTTAAACTGTACTGAGAAATTTCAGTTAGACATTAGGAAGAGTTCTATTGCAATATGGATAAGTAAAACTGGCATATCTACAGGATCCTGGAAATGGTATTAGTATTTTTTTAATATTAAGTTAATTATCTATAAGGAAAATATAGAAGAATTTGACTGCTGTGAAGTAATGGAGGCACACTAGGTTATAATTGCTTTCAGCACAATTTTCTGTAGCTGCAGTTACTATCCAGATATCTGTTCTGATCCTGTTTTTCCCTGACAAAAGTGAATCCCAGAGGCATTGAAACATTTAATGTGTTGTCATGATCTTATGCACAGGTGTAGATATCCCCTTTGGGAGTCTTTGTCATGTTACAATCAGTATAGTTGTGTGGCAACATATGTCACATGCTCAGCTAATTTGCTAATTTATAAACTTTATGTATCATTATAAATTCCACATTTAAAAACAATGTGTGTGTTAGTGCTCATGTAACCATTGTCTATCACAGCTTTTGCTTTTCTTTGCTTTTTCTCCATGGTACCAGAGGCTAATTTTCCCCAAAATCCATTAAATTCAGGGGTTTCTCTGGAGCTTGCCAGTTAGGAGAAGGCAGTGTGAGTGGTTTATGTTGCAGGACTGAGACCCACCAAACTCAACTCATTAGAGATGACTAAAAGGCCATTAAATAGGCCAATTTTCAATCTCCACTGAGTTAGACTGAATTCAAACTGATAGCCCACAGGCAAAAGGCTATGAATTTCATTAACAGTACCCCAAAGCATTCAGTCCCCTAATGAGTGCTAATATTATTCTTCTGAGAATTAAGCTTGTTTTCTGAAAATATACATTTATAAAATCGAGTTCTAATTATTTTGGAGCTTGTAAGGACAGTTTTTCCAATGCTCTTAAACAAAAGAAACATTATCATCTTGTGCAATCCACAGATTCCTGTTAAGATTCTTACATGATATGTGCTCCACATTAACCAAAATACAAACAATAAAAATGTGAAAAGCAAATATTAATACTACCCCTATGCTTCTTGCTGAAAATCATATATTTTATTGCACACAATCATTTTAAGGTCATCGCACTTTTTTAATTTAAATATATGTTGCCCAATAGAAGGTAAGATTTAAGAAACAGCAATTCTTGCTTCAATTCTGCAATTAATAACTGAAGGAAATCCCCAAATTCCATAAAAGTATTAACTTATAGAAGATGCAATGTTTTATTAGATTTCACATCTATTTGTGAACAAGTAAAATGCTTAGCATAACAAAACCTGAATTTCAGTTCTAATGCTGCCAAATCCCACAACTTATTAATAGTTTAAAGATATCTAGCAATTTTTTAATCTCTCAACACTTGAACTAAGAGGCCCAATTCCATTAGCACTAATGGATTCTTAAAAATGCTTATGATTCACATAATCTGTGGATCAAAAAATCCACATTTGGTGTGAATGAATAAAGAACATAAATTCAGTATTTCATTAAAATGGCAGTGTGGTAAAAGGTTATGTCCAGTGGTGTCAGAAGTCTTTTTTGATTTCTAATTCCACTTCTGTTGCCATTTTTAGTATGCTAAAAGTAGTAGATGATCTTAAAGGTTGCCTGATGGATTAAGAAGACTTGAGAAACAGACACCAAATGACACAAAATTGGGATTGCATGTCTGCACAAAATAGAAACTTTAGGACCAGTGAAGCATTCTAATGTCAGTAAAGGAACATGTAATGGCCAGTAGAGAACAACACAATAGGATCCTTGAAAATCAAGCCAGATCCTGCACAGCTGGCTTGCTGTTTGCAGAAATTCTGGCTGTGGCCTGGATTATTTCTCCACCAATGCAGACAAAGCCTAATAATGGTTAAAACAGCATTTGAAAACCTCTTGAGAGAATGATGCTCCTAGTTCCTCCTGATCTTCAACATGGCTATAAAAAGCTTAAACCAAGGCAGGTTCTTTCAAGTTAGCAGCAAAGTATGATTAACTGGAACCAATTTAGTAACTGTTTCTTCATATAAACGTTTTTGTAGCTGAAGCTGCAGAGGGAGAGTTGGAAAATGTTTAAGCTGAAGCATTTTGAATGAAAGAAGACTGCAAATGCCTCCTTGTAGCACATAGCAAAATCCCAAATGCCTGGAGGGAAAAACTTTTTAATGATAATTTCTTACATTTATATAGCACCTTTAATTCCCTAGGACCCCAAGCACTTCATTAACTCTATGCAAAAAGCTTCACCATGGAAATACAGCCACTATATGCATCATTCCTTGAACGTTTCATATTCAGCTGACATATATTCTGGTTATCCTGTGTACAGCAAACAAAATAACAACAGATAAAATATTAAGCTATGTAATTTTGAGTTATAGAACAATTTAAGGCTGTATGGTTTACAAAATGCTGTCATGTAATGGATACATTACATTTAGCTCGTTAATTTTCCTTTTCCATTTACTATTTCAATCTCATCTTTATACCATAGCCCTTGGTAGAAAATTTTGTCTTCCATAACATTTTCAAAATTGAAATGATTCTTGATGTCTGATTTTCAGACAAAAAAGGTCTCTTTAGGAAAAAGTAGCATCTTTTATGAAATACACTACTACAGTCTGAAAAAGCAGAGTTTTTGAGTACCTGAGATACAGTGATGGGATTTTTTTAAGGTGAGATGGTTGTACTAATAAAATCCCTTATCTTTATGTATAAAGTTTGTCTTGTCTTTGCCTTTAGACTTTTGTAGCTACAAAAAGAAGCACACAGAAACATGATATGAAAGATATCTGTGTTTCATTGTTCAACTTGCCATTGAGTTTTTCTTTACACTCTACTGAGATGTTTCTGGTTTCTTGGCCTTTCTTACAATGACATAATGCAGATTTCACTAATATCCATGAATTAGAAACTCAATGTACTAGTTGTTTCAACAAAGAGTAATCAACATTATTTCAACTGGAATATTAGAAGAACTAATAAAAGAATTATATGGAGCAGTTTAATTTATTTCAACATTGTAAAAACAAAAAGCAGAAGGTGACTTTTCCTAATATTTTTTTTCTGCTTGAGCTGTTGATTCATGTTTTGCTGGCTTGCTTCTTTCACAGGCCCTTTTGAGATGCAGTTGTCATGTTAATTAAAGAGGATTGTCTCGTCTATTTTTCAGACAGAACAAAAAAAGTATTTTATTTATAAATTTAGTCTCTGCCATAAATCAAGATATTCTTGTCATCTTTGTCAATATGAATTAAACTTTTAAAATTACCAGTAAAATAATAAGAGAGCAGTAAGA